TTTTTAAATTTGTTTTATAAGATTATTTATATATTTTATGCATTAATAGTATAATAAAAAAATAAAAATATATAATATTTTAAGTATTTATTTTTTTACACAATTTTAACCTTTAAACTTTTCTTCCTGTATATTTTAAAGGAAAAAGTTTTTAATTTTTCCTATATTAGGGTTACTTAACAATATTTTTATTAAATTTTCTTACATTAATTTTTTTATCAAACACAACAAAATTAATAATTTAATAAAATTCTAACAAAATTTCATTACAAAATTTAAAAGCTTTTTATACAATACTTTTTAAGTTTTTATATAATACTTTTTTAATTGATTTCTTAATAAAAACTTTTATAATAAAATAATTTTGTAATCAAACAAGTGTTTAGTGTATTAACAAAATTATTGTTGTAGCTTATTATTATATTAATATATATAAAAGAGAGCAAAATTAGTTCCTAAAAAGAGAATCATCACACATGTCACAATAAAAAAGGGTTAACTAAAAAAAAATGAAATAACTAATGTGATGTCCGTAATATAATAAAAATGAGCTTTTTCCCTTATTTTTAGCAAAATTCAATCAAGTTGGTTTTTTAATCGGTTTGTCAAAATTGTGAAGTCAAAATGATTACACCTCTAATTTGATTTTGAAAATAATGGTTTATACGATATTATTAAATTAATTAATGTATGTGATATCACGAGTCTAAAAAAAATTAATTATTAACTAATATAAAATTTACCTTTTAATAATTTAAATATCATAACTTATATTACATCATTACTTCCAAATTTTAGTTTCATTTATCATTATTTATATAGAAAAAGAGTATAGCAACTAATTACCAAACAGCAGATCAGACAAGGGAGAAGGATTTCTACATTGCAAAAGGGAGATGATGTGGCATAGGTGGGGCCACTTTGCACATTTAGAAAAAAGGAAAAAAGAATTGAAAAGTTCCCAAACATCCCTTCATTTGCAATTTAACAGTAAACTAACAGCCGTTTACCCGTAAAATGGATGGAGGGAAGACATTAATATGTTTTTGAGTAGTAGAGGAAGAACATGTGAAGTCAAATAAAAGAAGAGAGAGGACATGAGGGGAATCGATGATATATAAGATTTAAATTGAACTTTTTTTAATAGTAGAGGGACAATAATTGGCCATAGCCCTAGAAAATTTATCATTATTAAATATATATTAAAAATATAAATTTTTTGATCAAATAATTATAGATATTAAATCAACTTGAAAATT